AGGCTGGACAACCGCTGGCGAGGCCCCGTTAAGCCGGGGCGGGGGGAATGGAGCTGCGAGTTCCCCCGTACCGGCGCTCCATTAGCGGGCAGAACTCGCGCTTCCCGTGGGGTGTCAGTTCTTCCTGCTCTGCCCGGGTTCAGCATCGGCTCTCGGTGCTGCTTGGTCCTGTGGGACCGTTTCCAACCGTCTAACCAGGGGCCTGGGCACATCGTTAGTTGGCAGTTGCTGTGGGAGCGGTGACTTAAGGTTGGGGTAGGGCGAGAGGAAATGGGTTTAATTTACGTCAGGGGAGGTTTAGGTTGGAGATTGGGAAGAATTTCTTTCCTGCCAGAGTTCAGGCTGCCCAGGCAGATGGTGGAGTCCCTGTCTCTGGAGGTGTTCAAAAAATGTGTGGATGTGTCACCTGGGGACATGGTTTAGTGGTCATGGCAGTGTTGGGTTGATGGTTGGACTTAATCTTGGAGGTCTTTTCCAACCTTAATGACTCTATGATTTTCAGGTCCAGCTGTCAGCCCAGCGCTGCCATGAGCACTAAACTGAAGTACCATGTCTACATGTTTTTAGGATACCTTCAGGGATAGTGAATCAGAGTGTCAGTGTTACCTTGGTGGGTGTTGCAGATTGGGTGATGCACGGGTGGTTAAAGCTGTGTGAGAAGCAGCACAGCCTCACAGGAGACCTTTAGCAAAGGGAACCTGGGGTGACAGCTAAGTGTGGCCTCTGAGCCATGAGGTTCCAGCTGAGACGTGGAAAATTCTGAAGGTTGTGAGGTAAGAGGAATGCAGAACCAATACTGACCAAATTTGGTTAGTATTAAAAGAGGGACGCTTGGTGGATTTAGCAGATAAGTTCAAAACAGCTCAAATACTTCAAAAACATTTAGTGGATTTCGGGAAGTTGCTGCCACAGGGCAGGGGGAGGGTGGTAGAAGTGGACAGTATTTAGCAGATTCCAAGAAAGGATGAGCCAAATGAAATACATCGTGGTCATAACATCCAAAAATAGCTAGGTGAGGATTTGCCTTAAAACAACCCTGATGCAGCAGCTTTGTCAGCTGGAGGAGTATGAGGGGAGCAGACCACAGATGGTGGCCAGGGTCGTGTTGTTTCTTTTAGCAGCATTTCCCCCTGCTGTAGTCCAGACAGACTATGGCCTGGGGTCTAGGGGAGCTGTGGACTCTAACCTGGAGGGCAGGTCTTAAACTCTTCTAGCTTTATTTTCTGTAGAGACATGTGCAAGATAGCACTGTTGTTTTAAGACTAGTTTTGTAACAGCTGACAGGACCTGAGGAGGTATTTCTCTATCAACCCACAGCTTCCTGACCAAGCAATGAGGGAAGGGATCTGTTCCTAAAACTTGCTGTAGTCCTCAAAACCTAGCAGGGTCCTCTCATCACCTTCTTTTAAATTAGTTTGGAAAATATTTGCTGCAGGTAAGCAACCCAGCAAACTGCTTTGGAGACCTCAGGGCTCAAGCTCAGTGCAGAGAGCCCTGCAGGGCTGCTTTTGTGCCCTAGTTCTGAGATATTTTTGGCTGTAAGGATTGCTTACTTTGTCTCCAGTTAAGTGTGGACAGAGACAGGAAGTGTTTTGAAAGCAAGTGCATGCTGCTGTGTGGCTTTAAATAAGGTAGTTTATCTCTAACTCCATCTGTGTTGTGAAAAAACCATCCAAACCTTTTTCATTTATGGCTGAAATAAACCAGTAGCTTTACTTTAAATAGAAATGTGCAAACTGGGCATTAGCAGGAACACTAAACCCTGAGCAGAATAGAGGAAAATGGGGAATTTCAATACAGTTCAAACATAACTGGTGCTTGCTTATTTATTGTCAGTGTGGGAGCAGAGATGCATTAGACTTAGTGCTGCCTTTACTTCTAAGGGAATGCAGTATATGATGTTTTAATCCCTTTTTAACTTAATTGCATCCTATTAGGCTGGGATATAGGTGGAGGAAATGGGAGTTTTGGGAGCTATACATGTAGGGGGAGTGAGCATCAAAACACTGTGTGGATTTCACTGGTCCTACTGATTTTTTGAGGGCTTTGGGGAAGTCTGAGCTCACAACTGGAGGCAGGGATATCTGCTGCTGTGTCATCTGCAGTTTCTGGGGCCACAGTTGCATCTGGAAACTATTCCAGGGGGGATTTCACTGCTGCTGTAGCACGTTAGTAGAACCTCTTGCATTTGGGAAGAATGATGTAGGGTGATACCTGCTTTTTGAGGTGGAGCCAGCTGCTTGGGAATAAGAGCAGGAGACACACGTGCTGAGTTAACAGCAGAAGCACCTCAGATCCCAGCAGGTGTACAGGGTTTACAAAGACTACAGTGATTGTTTGCAAATGCTGTACTGAGTGCTTCCAGGACTCGTTGCAGGGCTGTTGTGACCTATTGCCATCTACTATAAGGAATTCTTCATGAGAAAACCTATTAAAACCCTTTTAAAAAATAAAAAAGATGGGGGGGAGGAGGGAGGGAGGGAGGCAGGCAAGGAGCTTGGAAGGGGTCTGTGAATCCAGTGTTTCCCATTGACTGATTTACTCCACAGCAGGAAACCTCCTCTCTGTCTGTATGCTGGTGATTCTGCATGACCTGGTATCTTGAGTTGTGTGTGCAGAGTAACAACCCCTCCTCACAGGCTGGGAAAAAGGGCATGTGTGTCATGTTCTAAAACAGCTGACACTGGTTCCTGGTTGCAGGCTTCATTGATCCAAGGCATCCCTTCCTAACCACGTTATTGCCTGCTGGAGGCTGCTGCAGAAGGAAGCAGAGATGATCTCCTTCAAGCAACTGCCCCTGGAAGCAAAGGCAGCAGTGGCTGCAGGAGTGGTTTTCTTCTCCACGATGCTCTCCCGGAGCTACCTGGCAGAAAAACTGGATCTGAGGATGCGGCGTTGGCTTTTAAGGCTGCAGATGGCACTCTTTGCCAATGCACTCATGTTGATAGGATCTCTTCATGTCTGGAGAAGCACTGTCACCACCTTCTCCAGGTCTTCAGCTGCCAGCTCCTTCTGTTTCGTGCCGTGGAAAATAGCTGTGTTCATGTTTCTAGCTCTGGCTCACTCAAGCTTCTTTACGTTGCTGTTTCTTGTTGCAGAAGAGCCCTATTTCTTTTCTTTAGCTGCCTACACTTGCCTGGGGGCCTATATCATTCTTATCTTCTTCCTCTTCACCTTAGGCTCTGTAGAGCAGGCTTACAAGTTCTTGGCTGGGAGAGGCACTAAGGCAGCAGCTGGCAGCAAGAACAGAACAGCGATGAAACCGGTTCTGGCAGTCGTGCTGACTGTCGTGCTGACTGTTGTGGGGCTGTTCAACGCCTCCCAGCCTCCCACTGTGAATTCAGTGGAGATTCCTGTTCACAAGCTGCCCCCGACGATGAACAATCTGAAGGTGGTGTTGCTTTCAGATATCCACCTGGGGCCGACGGTTGGGAAGACCAAGCTTGCCATGATCGTGAGGATGGTTCAGGCTTTAAAACCAGACCTCACCGTGATCGTGGGGGACCTGACCGACTCGGAGGCGCAGATCATCCGACCTGCTGTTGAGCCTCTTGGAGAGCTGAACTCCCCTTTGGGGACTTACTTCGTCACGGGAAACCACGAGTACTACACCTCGGATGTTAGCAACTGGTTTGAGCTGCTGAAATCCTTCCACATTCGGCCTCTCCACAACGAGAACGTGAGGATCGCCTCCCCGGCCAGCTCTGCTGACTGGTTCTGCCTGGCTGGTGTGGATGACATCGAAGCAGACGTCTTACGCTACTCAGGACATGGCATGGACTTAAAAAAAGCTCTCCAGGGCTGCAGCAGCGAGCGTGCCATCGTGCTGCTCGCTCACCAGCCCATTGCTGCCAAGTGGGCCCTTCAGGAGAGACCAGACATTAATCTCATCCTCTCCGGCCACACTCACGGAGGGCAGATGTTCCCTCTAAACGCTGGGGCTTATCTGCTGAAACCCTTCTTTGTGGGCCTGTACAGAGTTGGGCAGAACACCTTCGTCTACGTCAGCCCGGGGACGATGTATTTTGGAATACCCATGAGGCTGGGCAGCAGGGCTGAGATAACAGAGATCATTCTGCGTTCTCCTTGAGCAGCTTCCCACCTGACAGGCTTCCACCGTGCTTGTTTGGTCAGCTCTTGTGCTCTGAAAGCAAATCCTCTTTCAGGGAAGCCAGAGAAGATGCGTTGGGGTGGACTTCAGGTTCCGTTAAGCTTGAGCAGAAGACACTAACTTTATCTTGAGCCTGTGAAACAAATCAGGGGCATGCTAAAATACTGAAGGAACAAATTCTTTGAGTTCATTATTGAGGTTCTGCCTTTAAAGATAACACTGATCCCACGAAGGTTGTGTCTGTCTTGTGCATGTTGAGTAACATCTGTGTCTACTTCATGTTCCACCATTTATTATCCATCAGGCAGCTGCCTGTCAGATCTCAGAGGAAGGTCTGTCCCTTGAGGTGACATTGCTCACATGTGTGTTGCAGTAGGGACTGGAGTGTCTGTTGAATATGTAAACTCTAGAAGCCTTATGCTAAAAATGTTATGGGAGGGAATTATTGTTTGGGTTTTTTTTTTAATTGAGGCTGAGTATTTTTATCCTGCAGTCTTCAGTTTGCACTAGGGCTTCCAGTCTCTGCTGCTTATAACTTGCCAGGCATCAGTTGAATTTTTTTTTCCAGTTAAAAAGCTGAGAAGACTGATATCAAAGAGTGAAAGTTTCTGTCTTTTTTGGGGAGTTTTCCCCCAGAATGACTGGGCATGCAGTAATTACTTATTGAGAATAGCTCTAATAAAAGCAAATGAGAAAGAAAACTCATCATTAATGACTTCTGTTGCTGTCTGGGCATACAACACCTCCTGATGTAAAGCACAAATCCAGAGCTGAAGTAGTCTGTTTTCTCTTCATCCTCTATTTTTGTTTATGCTTAATTTCTCTTCTGTGACTTTTTTTTTTTCCTTTACAAGAGTGAGAAGATGCTACTTGAAAACAAGGCAAATAGGTTAAAGCTTGAATTTTGTTTAAGGTTTTAATATTGCAAGTAAATGGTGTCCTTTTCAAGAAGACTAAACTCTGCAGCAGGTGACTTTCCTTAAAGGCATTTGTAGATCCCTATCTTGGTTGTCTGATAGGCACATAGCTACAGGGCAGTGAGGGATGGAGGATTTCTTTCTGTCCTTCCTAGAAGGCCTTAACACAAATTCATATTCTGGGAAATCTGGCAGAAGAAATTTGGAAGTTTCTCTTCACGTGCTCCTTTCAGCCTGCCCCAGGCAGAGTTTCAAACTGCTAAGCTGGTTTTGGATCCTGTTCCTTACCAACATCTTGCAGTTTTACTCCAGGAATATTGAGACGTGTGTCTTTGGGAAGGTTGGGGGAAGAGCTGCAGTCCTCTTTCAGTCTGGAAACCAAACACCTGACCAGCCAGGCTCTCTGCTTGCTGGACTAGATCATTCCTGC